GGCGACTTGCACTGCGCGCAGTCTCCGCATTCGCCGTTGAATATGGGCACGACATGGTCTCCTATCTCGATGTCCGTCACGCCGGGGCCCACGCTCTCCACCACTCTGTATATTTATTTGGGATTTTGAGTGATTTATATATTTTTTTTTAATTGAGATTCTTTTAGACTTTTTAAGATTGTTTGAATTATCTGGAATAAATTACTCAAGAAATTTTTTAAAACTTTTTGAAATCTCAAATGAATATGTCATTATTTGTTAAGACATTAAAATATCAAACAAATACACCAGAAATTTCAAAAGTCTCAAGAAGTCTTAGGAATCTGGAAGGAATACACTCCTTTTACTATTTGGGCCGGTGAAATATTGTGTGATTAGAGTTGTTGTTTGTTAAATGAAATGAGCCGCTCGTGAGCTCGGGTCAGCTCAGCTAGACTCGTTTGATAAACGAGCCGAGCTTGAGTTTGTTTAAAACTCTGAGTCGGGCTTGACTCGGCTTGATAAGACTCGTTTTGGCTAGAAAAGATAATTTTTATATAATTTTTTATAATTCAGTTTGTTAAAGTTTGAGATCGACTCGTTAAGGCTCAAACTCGACTCTTTAATATTGATAAACAAGCCGAGTTCATGCTCGATTTCTGGGTCGTTTACTTAACGAACCGAACAGGGTTCAGCTCGTTAAGGACTGTTCGGTTCGTTAAGGGCTCGAGCTCATCCGTTTACAACACTATGTGTGATGAATTCGGATTTTTAGAGCAACGATGGATTGATATTCCTAAACCGTGTGATGAAATTCTCCTACTCGATCACTTGTGTTCTTGTCTAATTCTTACCCGGAAGCTTCGTGGCCGAGGATTCGAGGGAACATCCTATGAGCTTCGTTCTTGAACACACGAATCGCCAAACAAACAAACAAATCACTTCACCATAAATCGGAAAAAATTCAAACGACGCCAAAAAAAAAAAGCCTAAAAAAGAAAACTAATACCAAGCCTTCCCAAGCACTAAGATCAGTGTGACAAATAGAGGTGAAAAGCACCCTGACCCTGACTTCCATCACCTGAGGAACTTCGACTTCAATCTCCTCGACCACCAACGGCTCTCCCCGTCCATATGCAACCGCCGCTGCAAAATGTTATCGTTTTCGCCAATTAATAATGCCTAAAAAATATATTACGTATACGTACGTTGCGCACAAAATCGAACAAAATATATATTTTTTGATTCATATATATACCTTTGCACGTTATGACTTTGCCGATAGTGTCTCTGGAGATGGTATTAACAACATTGTTCTTTAGGCTTCCCAAACAAACCAAACTACCCATTCTTGATTGTAATGTAGTTTGTTAGTGAAGGGTGCACTTATTAGAGGTTCATGAAGTGTTGCCACAATATATATATAGAGAAAACCGGCCGAGTCACATCAAATATTAATTAATATGCATATAGAGAAACCCGGCCGAGTCACATCAAATATTAATTAATATGTTGTTGGGGGTACACATAATGGTATTCAATTATTCATATAACTGATAATATGAAATGATTCCTCTCATATATTTTTATTATATTGACTTTTTCAGCCCATGTGAAGTATATATGATAGATACTCTAATGTAAGCTTTGATTGGTCAACTTATTTAATATTGTGCCCAATAGCATGTGAATCGATGTTAAGTGAGACTAAAATTGTTATTAGGGTATTTGTAATTAATTATAATTAAGAAAAATGGCTGACAAAATAGTAAAAAAGGATCTAATAATATAAGGCCGAAACACGTAAATATGTGTTCTCTGTTTTTTTTTTTCTTTTTTTTTTTTAATAAAAACAAACAATCTTCATTCAATCAATCATGTAATCGTACAAAACGAACGAAAGAAGATAGAAAAGAAGGGAGAGACTCCTTCCACAAAGATATATCCCTTCGACCTAATAGTCCGTTTGACTATACTATGAGCTATAATATTGTGTTCACGACTAACGTGACAACATAAACCACAATTCAATGACGACAAAAGACCAACAATATCAACAAAAACATTGTGCAAAATTAAGGTCGTTAGGATGATTGTTCAATATGCCAGAAATAGTGAAATGGCGTCTGTTTTTGCGATTTGACTCATAAAGTCTGCATCCAAAGCAAATCGCAATCTAAATTTGAGAGCAAATGCTTCCGCTGAATCCAGAGAAAAAGATCATGCCTGATGAGAAGTGAAGGCGGCCCAACACAGACCATCCGAATCACAAATCCAACCACTAATTTTTATATAATGGAATATACATTTTATACCTTCGCAAAAGAAGCACATTATGCCGGATATATAGTTCGATTATATAATTGCAATTAGCTTCGAGAAAATTACTTTTTGGTTGACCATGGAACAGCCCACTTGAACAATAGTTTGATTGTATATTTGCTATTAGTTTCGGAAAAATTAGTTTGTTTGATCATGGAACAGTCAATTTTGAATAGAGGAAAAGGCAGCGATGATGTGTTCGAATAATCTGATATGGTCCGAGATCGGTGGCTCCGGTCTTACGGAAGGTTCTTCCCGGTTATGGCGTGGTTCGCTTGATTCGATCCGGCCCAAGCTTGCGTGTTCTCCGGTACCTGAAAGCGCGCCGGAATTTCTCCGGCGCAAACCCTCCGACGCCCAAGTTAAGATCTCGGATTTAGAGAGAGAATTGTGTATAATAAATGTTGTAGTAATGATATTAAATGAGATCTTACCATTATTGCGGTCTTTCCCTTATATAGTGCTCTCATCCGATTTATACGTTCTAGAATGTTCGTTGACCAGTCATAGCTTACTCGGTCTTATTGCTGTCCTTCAACCCGCGCCACACTTCGACTAGCGGGTCGAGTTCTTCGACCCTCCCTCTCTTCGGGTCGAGCCCCTCGACCCTCTTGGGCCGATCAAGTCTCTTTGCTGGCCCTTAATCGACGTTCGACCCTCCCTACGCGTTCGACCCCTGGGTTTTGGTCGCATGGGTCGACCACTGGGCCGGTCGACCACATAGACTGTCGATCACGTGACCGCTCGACCCCGTAACCGGTCGAGCCTATAGTCGGTCGGTCTTTTGTCTTTGCCAACTTAGTATTATGGGTCTTTCCCAAATCGGACCGGGTGGGTATTATAATCCCTATCAACTACTCCCCCCTATTTACGAGCGTACGAAGTGACATTCGTTATGATCGTAAATATTAGTCTTTGCGTGCCCAACCATCGTTATGAAAATTTTGTTACCGTCACCCTCGTGAGGTTGCCGACGCACTTTGTTTGTACGCCGTAAGATCCGACCCCTCTCGGTTGACTAGGGACTCGGTTTGACTTTAAATGCTCTTTGACCCATGTTCTTTTTTCCCTCTCCAAGGTCTCACCTAACATTGCTATCCACCATAGATCTTACATCCCACCTACCAACATCCTATGGTCCTTATTTTTCCAACCTTTTCCCTCTCTCTCCTAAACACTTTATCTCCTTCCCTCAAACACTTTCATCTTCCTTTCTCTTCCTTAACCCTCCTTTTCTTTTCAACAATGGCCAAACACTACACCTAGCTCGATTTCTCAATCGGTTCACTTTCTCCGGTCATCCTCTTCACACGGTAACGGCGACGCGAGGCTCACGGCTTGGTTCTCCGGTCCACTTCTTTTGCTCAAGCGCGGCTTAACGCGAGCTCTTCCCCTCCGGCTCCTTCGAGGCTCACGACGCGAATTTCCGGCCATCCTCACGCCTCCTCTCGGGCTCTCTCCTTCCTTGGTCATGGGTACGGTTTCTAAAAATTACCTACAATTTCATGTTGTCTTGCTTGTTGTTGTGGTGCTCTTCCTTTATGGTATGCTCCTTTGCTTGGTTTAGCTTTTCGATTCTTTAGGCAAGAGAGCTTAATTTCCGGGTTTGGGTCGGATTTTTTTTATCTAAGGGTTCTTATGCCGCTTTCATTTCATCCCTTTATGTAGATATTC